TGGGGCTGGCTATGGGGCAGGCTATGGGGCTGAGAGCTATGGGGCTGGGCGCTGTGGGGCCGGCTGTGGGGCTGGGAGGGGTCTCACAGGGATGGGGGATGCAGGGATGCTCCTGGAGCTGGAGGATGCTCATGGGGCTGGGGACCTTGGGGTTGGTTGTGGGGCTGGCTGTGGGGCAGAGCGCTATGGGGCTGGCTGTGGGGCTGAGATCTATGGGTCTGGGCGCTGTGGGGCTGGCTGTGGGGCAGAGCGCTATGGGGCTGGCTGTGGGGCTGAGATCTATGGGTCTGGGCGCTGTGGGGCTGGCTGTGGGGCAGAGCGCTATGGGGCTGGCTGTGGGGCTGAGATCTATGGGTCTGGGCGCTGTGGGGCTGGCTGTGGGGCAGAGCGCTATGGGGCTGGCTGTGGGGCTGAGATCTATGGGTCTGGGCGCTGTGGGGCTGGCTGTGGGGCAGAGCGCTATGGGGCTGGCTGTGGGGCTGAGATCTATGGGTCTGGGCGCTGTGGGGCTGGCTGTGGGGCAGAGCGCTATGGGGCTGGCTGTGGGGCTGAGATCTATGGGTCTGGGCGCTGTGGGGCTGGCTGTGGGGCAGAGCGCTATGGGGCTGGCTGTGGGGCTGAGATCTATGGGTCTGGGCGCTGTGGGGCTGGCTGTGGGGCAGAGCGCTATGGGGCTGGCTGTGGGGCTGAGATCTATGGGTCTGGGCGCTGTGGGGCTGGCTGTGGGGCAGAGCGCTATGGGGCTGGCTGTGGGGCTGAGATCTATGGGTCTGGGCGCTGTGGGGCTGGCTGTGGGGCAGAGCGCTATGGGGCTGGCTGTGGGGCTGAGATCTATGGGTCTGGGCGCTGTGGGGCTGGCTGTGGGGCAGAGCGCTATGGGGCTGGCTGTGGGGCTGAGATCTATGGGTCTGGGCGCTGTGGGGCTGGCTGTGGGGCAGAGCGCTATGGGGCTGGCTGTGGGGCTGAGATCTATGGGTCTGGGCGCTGTGGGGCTGGCTGTGGGGCAGAGCGCTATGGGGCTGGCTGTGGGGCTGAGATCTATGGGTCTGGGCGCTGTGGGGCTGGCTGTGGGGCAGAGCGCTATGGGGCTGGCTGTGGGGCTGAGATCTATGGGTCTGGGCGCTGTGGGGCTGGCTGTGGGGCAGAGCGCTATGGGGCTGGCTGTGGGGCTGAGATCTATGGGTCTGGGCGCTGTGGGGCTGGCTGTGGGGCAGAGCGCTATGGGGCTGGCTGTGGGGCTGAGATCTATGGGTCTGGGCGCTGTGGGGCTGGCTGTGGGGCAGAGCGCTATGGGGCTGGCTGTGGGGCTGAGATCTATGGGTCTGGGCGCTGTGGGGCTGGCTGTGGGGCAGAGCGCTATGGGGCTGGCTGTGGGGCTGAGATCTATGGGTCTGGGCGCTGTGGGGCTGGCTGTGGGGCAGAGCGCTATGGGGCTGGCTGTGGGGCTGAGATCTATGGGTCTGGGCGCTGTGGGGCTGGCTGTGGGGCAGAGCGCTATGGGGCTGGCTGTGGGGCTGAGATCTATGGGTCTGGGCGCTGTGGGGCTGGCTGTGGGGCAGAGCGCTATGGGGCTGGCTGTGGGGCTGAGATCTATGGGTCTGGGCGCTGTGGGGCTGGCTGTGGGGCAGAGCGCTATGGGGCTGGCTGTGGGGCTGAGATCTATGGGTCTGGGCGCTGTGGGGCTGGCTGTGGGGCAGAGCGCTATGGGGCTGGCTGTGGGGCTGAGATCTATGGGTCTGGGCGCTGTGGGGCTGGCTGTGGGGCAGAGCGCTATGGGGCTGGCTGTGGGGCTGAGATCTATGGGTCTGGGCGCTGTGGGGCTGGCTGTGGGGCAGAGCGCTATGGGGCTGGCTGTGGGGCTGAGATCTATGGGTCTGGGCGCTGTGGGGCTGGCTGTGGGGCAGAGCGCTATGGGGCTGGCTGTGGGGCTGAGATCTATGGGTCTGGGCGCTGTGGGGCTGGCTGTGGGGCAGAGCGCTATGGGGCTGGCTGTGGGGCTGAGATCTATGGGTCTGGGCGCTGTGGGGCTGGCTGTGGGGCAGAGCGCTATGGGGCTGGCTGTGGGGCTGAGATCTATGGGTCTGGGCGCTGTGGGGCTGGCTGTGGGGCTGGGAGGGGTCTCACAGGGATGGGGGATGCAGGGATGCTCCTGGAAGTGGAGGATGCTGATGGAGCTGGGGACCTTGGGGTTGGTTGTGGGGCTGGCTGTGGGGCAGAGGGCTATGGGGCGCGCTATGGGGCTGGGA